GGATCACCTGATGGTAAGCAATCGGCTTCGCCCATGAACACACGTCACACCAGAGGCGTTACAAGTGCGTTACCCGCCTTTGGGTATTAGGAATTTGAGGACTATTCGTAGGTAATGGTATTTTTAAGGCCTTAATTGACTTTACAAAATTTTAAACTGTTCATAATCTTCGTGATAAGTATTTCCGAACCGATACGACCTTCAAACCTTCATGAAAAGAGCGTTTTTCTTTTTAAAAGGCAGGCAACGCACCTGTGACTTTTTTGGTGTTGCGGGTGTCCATGGGCGGCACTGATCGGTTACCATCAGGTGATACGTCTGCTCGTTTGCCTCCTATTCCATAAAAAACGTTACAAACAAAACAGTTTGATTCTAAAGTAGATTTTTTATCGAAGCAATTTTGAAACTAAGTTGTAGTTTCAAAATTGCTTCGATAAAAAATCTAATAGACAATAATTTCAAACTTTAACCATTATCAATAGTTAGTGTCTAAAATACAAATTGTTTTTATACAAAACCTACAAAATGATGTCATTTATGTATTTTAGGCAGTTTTAGCATTTATTCAGCAGCTTTAGTTAATGTTTTAAACTGTTCATATCTGTATGGTTATAATGTAACTGTGTATGTGTGTGTGTGTGTGTGTGTGAATAAGTATTTTTTTATTATTATTTGAAATTAGACAAACCAGACACAAATAATAATGTATGACACAATAAATTCAACTAATGAGAGAAATAGCATTCTATATCTATATTATATGTCGCGGAGAACCTAACGGGTTACCGGGGTTACGACTCGACGTGCAGGAGAAGGAACGGGGTGGTTTTTAGTCAGTAAGAGTCTGACACTCCCTCCTGCCTCACCCAGGCGGGAGCAGACATGCGATGATTTTCCCCCCTTAAAAAAAATCTATATTTTATATAGTGTATATTATGATAGTGAGATATTTATATATTTAGAATCTATATTTAGATTATGTTCTGGAGTGAATGCATAGGCTAATTTTTACCCCCGGGGACGCAGGCGGAGCCGCTGGCAGAAGCCAGTAATTTAATATCACGACTGCACGGTTGGTGCGGTGGCTGGGCAACCGGCTGCCGTGCAACGTGTCGCGGGTTCGATTCCCGCACGGAACAACACTTTGTGTGATCCACGAATTGTTGTTCCGGGTCTGGGTGTCATGTGTATGTGAATTTGTATGTTTGTAAACGCACCCACGACACAGGAGGAAATCCTAGTGTGAGTCAACGTTTTAAAAAAAAATGTAGTTACTCAAAGTTATTAGGTGGTAACTTAACAATTTAAAGTATTTGTTGCACTGTTTCATATATTTTCATAACTAACACTAAGTAAAGAAAGAAGAAAAAAAGAAAGAAAAGCCATTTATTTTGCTACGACACACAACAAGAATTTAGAGGCACAAAAAAAACCCTATGGTGCGTCGCAGCGCATTTAAGTGGAAACAATTAGGTACAAGTTCACTAAGCGTGATGCTGTCAAGGTTTGTTATGTCATAACAAAAAGGACAGTTTTCCTTATCCCGACGGCAAACTGAGGACCGTACTTGAAGTGTACTCAAGTTTACTCAACTGCTCATTCAGTGATGTTCCTCGGGTCGTGCTTATTCATGTGAGCAACTGTTAGGTAAATACACTCTCATCTTAAGAATTTCTTTACAATGTTCAAGTGTGGAAGAGCCATGCTTCGGCACGAATTGTTCGACCGGAGTTATACCACGGCCTCACAGAAAACCGACGTGAAACAACGCTTGCATTGTGATACGTCGTGTGAGGTTCCCGAAGGCTCTCCCCTTATCCCAAACCCCCCAATTCCTGATCAGGTGTAACACCTCTGGTATTCCGGGTGTCCATGAGGGACGCCGATTTACGCACGTTTACCGGCTTATCCCATAAAAAATTAAATTGTAAGCTGTAAAGGCTCGTATAAAAATGACTGGATTGGTATGTTTGAAAAGGTACGTAATTAGTTGGGTTGTCTGTCTTACATATTTAGAAAACAAAGTCTGTAAAAGTTTGTACTTTAATTAGCAAACGTTAGAAAACTACTATTACAACATTTTCTTGTAAAAATCTCAAGTTCTAAAGAAAATTACAGTAGACCTACTGTAATTTTAGCAACTAATTAGATTGACGAATCTATAAATGACCATTTTTTAAATATAGGTAAAAATGGTAGAATGAGTCTGCATTTAGCCATTAATTATTTTTATAACTTCAATTCTTATCTTTATTTAACCTTTCGAGCACCAATGCCACACATACGAAAACTGTCCCTGGACACATAAGTGACAAGCGAAAACTGTCTCCGGACGCCAATGACACAAATACATAACAGAAAAAGCGGAACCGAAAACACGAAATCAACAATTTAATTCCCTATTGGAATCCCTATTTCTTTCAAAGATATTTGCGCGGAATTTGTGGCTTGGCGTTGAGGGCAGGTTCATGTGTGTTTGCTCTTGCGTTCAAGGTTAAAAAAGTTACGATTAAAGTAACTATTAACTAAGTATTAAAGTGTTAAGAAAACTTAAACAAAACCCACCTCGCAACATCTTTTAATATGCCTATTCTAAAACAAAAGAAAAATTAAGTAAATCCCCATCTGACCTACAAAGCCACATTACGATTCTAAGAACACAAAACCTCGAACCACGTTCAGCTAAGTTTTATGAGAAAGATCGCATTAAGAAGACTATTACACGGACGAAAATAAGCTATTTTATACAAAAAATGGTAATTATTACCATCGTTTGAAACGAGGCTGGAATATTAAATAACTTCTGTAGTCCAAGAACTGAGTCCACTGGCTTAATAATGTAGCTTGGTGATGTAATCATAGGCTTGTGGCTATTGATTTCAGTTAGTGGTCGTTTGGTGAAGATTCTGTGGATTTCTTTTGTATTTTTAATGCGAGAGATAAGGTCTAAATTGAGGCTTGGTGTATAAGATAATGTTTGGCATTTTATTTACAACTAGCTACTTCCGCGCGGTTTCACTCGCTCTGCTCGGCGTCTATTAATCGTAGCATAATATTTTATAGTCTATAAAGATAAAGGCTCGAGAAAGGCTCTCGATAAATGGGCTATCCAACACAGAAAGAATTTTTCAAATCGGACCAGTAGTTTCGGAGATTAGCGTGGTCAAACAAACAAACAGAAAACAAACTCTTCAGCTTTATAATATTAGTATTTTTTTTAAGGGGGGATAATCATCGAATGACTGCTCCCGCCTGGGTGAGGCGGGAGGGAGTGTCAGACTCTTACTGACTAAAAACCACCCCGTTCCTACTCCTGCACGTTGAGCCCTCCTGCACGTCAAGCATAATATTAGTATAGATTTGCAATAATAAGTTTTAGCACTCACAATGGTTTTAGACAACGATGTTTCATTCTATTTCACATTTTTGACAATAAGCTCTAACGCTTCATGTTATCATGTCTGCTTTAGCGAAATCGCTACACGTTTTATATAAGCCACACCACTAAAAAGTCCAATTATCTTCTCATCTTTTTCTTTTTAGTTTATGAATACTAGTGTTATAAAGCTAGCTATAAAGACCAGGCTTTTGTAAGGTCTGTCGATAGTTCGCCGCCGTCGGTAACGAGTTGATATCCAGTTAGTTGTTTACCTTTTAAAGTTAAGTGAGTGCCGTCGACGGGATAATTGGAAAGTTAACGAACAAGCAACTGAGAAGTTATTCGCCTCGTATTTAGTTTCAACGTGTTGTTTATGTAGGAGGAGTTTGAGTTTTTTTAAAAAGAGTAACGCATGCAGGTTCTTTCTCGTTCTTCTCCATTCGAAGCAACATTTTGGAACGAGCACCTAGCTTCATTGATTGACAGACTGACAGAGTATTATTTATTTGGTATTTGGTGACGTTCCAAACGTATCAAATTATGGTTTAAATGAAATTAATGTTTGGACTTTGTTTATACGAATTCCAAGTGCATATATAAAGATAGTTTTTTGATTAAATTCATCTCTCCGACGATGTGGTGTGTTTTAGCAGACACTAAACTTCTGTCTTGCAGTAACATATAGGTACTTAATGATGATGATAATGATGACAAAAACACCACATATCATATCGTATCTGTTTTTAAAACTAATCGCTCCTGTAAGTTGAATCGAAATTGTTGAAATAAGAGCGAGCTGTTTATATGTGTATTTGTTTAATGGGATAAAACCTCCCAAAACCGCTGCAACTCCTGTAAGCCAGGATTTCATCATCATCATCAACAGCCTATAAATGCCCACTGCTGAGCAAAGCCTCTTCTCACACGGAGAAGGTTAGAGCATTAATCACCACGCTGGCTCAATGCGGGTTGGCGATTTCAAACTTATAATTAGAAATTATAAGTCCAGGTTTCCTCACGATGTTTTTCCTTCACCGTTTGTCAGTGGTGTCTAAATAATCTTAGAAAGTACATATAACTCGGAAAAAGTCACATTGGTACTTGCCGATGGTAGGTTTCGAACCCGCACCCTCATGCATGAGAAGTGGGCGTCTTAAACCTCCGGGCCACCACGACGTAAGCCAGGATTTACAGTAGATACAACAATGAAAATACCGGAACACTGAAGTCCGGCGCGTCCCAGGGACATGAATAACTGTCTTGGTTCCCGCAACGAAGTGAATCAGAAGATATTATAAGAGGAGAAGAAGAAAACCATAGTTTCCACTTCCCTCGGTGAATAACTGCAGGAGACAGAATGAATTAAGCCTAGAGGTACAAAAAAGAGACTGTACAAATATATCTGTGTATATGGTTTATATAACTATAATATATATAGTAACCGAACCAATACCTTCAGGTAACCCTGAAGGTATTGGTTATGTAGTAAGATAATTTCTACAAAAATAACCTGTATCCTATATTTATTATAACTGATACCGACTCACCCTGTCAACAGATGGTCCACAGAAAAGTCTTTGTTTTACAATTACACAAATCTGATTAATATTCTTGTCCACAGAACCTCCCTCCCAGTGGCTCAGTTCAGCCGCGGCGACTTCTCCCTCTGGTCTGTGCTGAAGAACTGCGTCGGCAAGGAGCTGTCCAAGATCACCATGCCGGTGGTGTTCAACGAGCCACTGTCCTTCCTCCAGCGTATGTTGGAGTACCTGGAGTATGCCCATCTGTTGCGCATGGCGTCCGAGCAAACCGACCCCGTGGCTCGGATGGAGTATATTGCTGGTAAGACTATTAGAAGACATTATGTAGTAGGTACCTATGTGTGTAGTGTGTGTGTGGGTGATGAACGTATGTTCCATACAAAATGTTATCTCTGATAGCCAAATCTGTTTGAAGTATTGGATATGAAAAAATGGTTCCTTATAATCTGTTAGGATGGCACTCCGGATTTGTCAGGATGGCGCATCGGGAGTCCATTTTGGAAATGGCACTGGAAGTCCTTTTTGGAAGTGCTGCTAATAATTTCTTTAATTTAGACTTCACAAGTTTTGACTTACAATAATTACCATGTAATATTTAACGGTGTTAGTAGTTGAAAAACTTTTTCGGAAGTGACTTGATACAGTAACTAAGACGTATAAGCCAGTGGTAGGGGGCATCCTGTGACATTTACACACGCAATCAAATATGCAAGCAAATATGCTTGCGTGTGTAGGGATTGCTTTAATTGCAATTTACATGTATAGTGTAAGATTATAGCGTGGAAGAAATATTTACACAGAATACTTAGTTATTTATTTCGTACGACCGTTTACAATGTGAGCTTCAAAGTGAGAGAGAGAGCGATACCAGTGGCAGAAAACTGAACTAAAATGGTTGCGTTCCAAAACTAGATATTCTAACATATATGTTCATAACAATGTAAGGATTGCTTAGATGACAATTTACAAGTAGGCCTGGTTCATTCAGATCAGAACTAATCATCTACCAATATCGTAAAATAATCGATAAAGTAAAAGTTGTTAGATTCCCCTTAAATAAGATCTACCGTAAAGTTTACTTCCACAACATATTAAACTCAAACAACTTTATCTAATAGCACTAAAACGCTATTAGCCTACCTAATTAGCATGCTAACAATCTGCACGAGCTCTACTAAGATGCCTCCATCTCCACCTATCTATATTGAAAGTAAATCAAGTCAACAAGTGGCCACTTATGCGCCTTTAAAATAGAGAGTGCTCTAATGTTAGTCGGAATAAAAAAACAACCTGTATACGGGCGAAAATAGCATTATGAGTACTAAGACCTCCTAAGAGAAATCAGTATTCTTACTTCAAAAACCTCTTTGCAATGTATGCTTTAATTTTTTTTTCAATTACCTACGAGTATTTTCTTATTATAGACTGCCTCGTTGGCCTAGTGGTCGCAAGTGCGACTGCCAGGCTAGGGGTCTCGGGGTCGATTCCCGGGTCGGGCAAAGAATTACTGGGGGTTCACAATAGGCTCACTCCCTATTACATGGGACTCATAATATATGTAAATAGTGGAAAGTGGGTGTTATTTGCATTGTAGAGGTACAGTGGCATGACTATGTACGCGCAATCTCGAAAAAAATCTAGAGGTGGACTACCCCTAACATATAGGGGGATGAAAAATATATGTTGGCCGATTCTCATAGATACCGGATAAGCACAAAAAAATTCATCATAATCGGTCAAGCCGTTTCGGAGGAGTATGGCAACGAAAACTGTGACACAATCATTTTCAGAGAAAAAAAGATCATTACTAACAGTTTTATTTTACCAAAGTTATCGTATTTCAGCTTACATTCGATACCTCGCCTTTAATCAGTACCCACGGGCATTATTCTAACGAAATACAATTTCTAACATTTGTCAAGAACGATTTATAGGTATGTACACGAGTATTCTGTTACATAAGTATACCAAGGTTTTCGCACTAAAAGGCGCCTTGTTATATTTTATTGTTGTAGACAGAATAATTTCTACATCAACTTCTACCTTTATTCCTCTAGTTTAGCTACCTCCTATATAACAAGGCGTGGGGTAAAAAAGGCTGTAGTATATGTCATAATTCACTGTTGCACTGCTACATTTGAAGTATTTAAAGAATGCGATGCCAAGTTTGTCGGAAACCGTAGTATTAAGTATATAAGTGTGGGAAAACCATGCTTCGGCACGAATGGGGTTCGACCGGAGTGATACCACAGATTAAATATCGTGCCATCTCTATCATTTTACAAAGAATTTGTAGTGACAGAAGTATACTAAGACAGGAGAGCCATGCTTCGGCACGAATGGGCGGGTTCGACCGGAGCGACACCACGGTCTCCCAGAACATCGACGTGAAACAACGCTTGCGTTGTGTTTCATCGTGTAAGTGAGGTTATCAGAGGCCCACTTAATCTTATTTCCCTAATCGCAAAATCCCCAACAATCCTCAAATACCTAATTCCCAAAAGGCCGGTAACGCACTTGTAATGCCTCTGGTGTTCCAGGTGTCCATGGGCGACTTCTGAACGAGATATTTTATAATCTGTTCACCAATAATATAATAAACTAACAATGCTTAGAGACTCCTTTGGGGAAGAAAAGCCCGTGTCGTTGTGTTCAGTTAAATTATAATTTTCAATGGAACTTCTTACTGAACCACACACAATACTCAAGATAAACAAGATTATATAGAGACCTTGTCTATAAAGGCGTATGAAATGGAATTACGTCGGCTTTTCTGTATACATCATATTAGTGGGCACATTTGTGATGGCTTTTTGTCCCTCGCTCGTTGATTCGATCTATTATGAGATTAGCTTGACGATGTTTCCTCTTGCCAAATATGTTTGGAACGATAAATATTGGAATTATTCGTGTATATTCGGTTATATTTTGATGGTAGAGGATTAGTGGTTGGTGTAATTGTATTATGAATTAAGGTCTTTTGTGGATTAAGTGGTAGCAAAATAAAATGAAAGTTACGAAGTATAGGTACGACTGGTTACTTTTATTTTCAAATACACCATATGTATATTAGTTGAATCTGTCTTATACTCTATCAGAAGTTCCCTAACCATAGAAATATTACATACTTCTTTTACCTATACATCTTTATACAGATAAATAAAATTGAAGTGTCTATAATTGTAATATTTAAATAACCGTTTTTTACTACATGAATATACATACGATATACAGTGGTCATCCAACTACGGCGACAAACGTGCAGGCAACTGATAATCATGAGATCACATGTGCATATTACGCATCTTAGAAAGGTCTGCCACAGCTGCGCAAAATAGTCGCGTAGAACCTAACGGGTTACCGTTACTCCGGCTCGACGTGCAGGAGAAGGAACGGGGTGGTTTTTAGTCAGTAAGAGTCTTACACTCCCTCCCGCCTCACCCCGGCGGCAGCAGTCATTGGATGATTTCCCCCCTTAATAAAATATATATATACCAAAATAACACTTTTAACAATCTTTGTCTGACTTCTGTTTGTACATCTCTAAAATGGCTGGACGGATTTTGACGGGAATTTTATTAGCAGGCAGCTAATGTACTAAGGAGTAACATACTACTACTTTTATTTTAAAAAAAACGCAGACGAAGTTGCGTTTTCAGCTAGTTATAATCTATGCCCCTAACTAACCTTAATAAGTCTACAACATAAATTGGATCATGTCCAAGGAATTAATCTCTAATTTAATTTGACGTGAAGTTTCTTAATTTCGCAAATTGAAGAGTGGAATATAATTTTATTATAAGTATTTGTATTACAGCCTTCGCAGTGAGTGCGTTGGCGTCCAACTGGGAACGTCTGGGGAAGCCGTTCAACCCACTCCTGGGCGAGACGTATGAACTTGAACGTCCCGAGTTCAGGGCGGTTTGTGAACAGGTACTTACTTATTAGCATTTTATTAGTTATTAGGAAGTGGTTTATAGTAGATTGTGATCTTTTTTCATTTATTAAGAAGTTCTGCCTAGGCTAGTCTCTCACATTGCCCAGTGCTTGTGCCGCTTCATAGGTACTACACGAGCCGCAACGACTACTACAATAGTCGTGGTGGCCCGGAGACTTAAGACGCCCGCTTCTCATGCGTGAGGGTGCTGGTTTTAAACCTACCAATAGCAAGTACCAATGTGACGTTATTTTTACTTACTAAATTTATTTAGATACCACTGACAAACGGTGAAGGAAAATATCGTGAGGAAACTTTTCCGAGTTATATGTACTTTCTAAATTTATTTAGATACCACTGACAAACGGTGAAGGAAAATATCGTGGGGAAACCTGGGCTTATAATATGTAAATATAAGTTTGTAATCGCCAACCCGCATTGAGCAAGCGTGGCGATTAATGCTCAAACCTTTTCAGTGAGAGAAGAGTCCATTGGTCAGCAGTGGCCACTTATAGGCTGTTGATGTTGATGGTGATAGCCTGATAGGTACTAGAATTTTATCTAGCGTAGTGTTTAATCAATTTTATGTCCAAGTTATGAAAGTACTTATTCAATTTATTAAATGATTGCAACTGACTTTACGGAGAACGAGGTTTGGTAGTTATAAAATAATCATCAGTATCACATTTTTTATCATCGATATCATAATCATATTGCAAAAAGTTAAATTATACCATTATAATAAGTAATATTATAAGACAAAAATAGTTCTAAAATTGTACAAAAACATTTCTTCTCCTAGGTATCCCACCACCCTCCCGTGTCTGCATTCCACGCGGACAGCCCGCACTTCGTGTTCCATGGCTCCGTGCACCCCAAGCTGAAGTTCTGCGGCAAGAGCGTCGAGATACAGCCCAAGGGACACGTCACTGTCGAGTTACCTAGGTAAGAAATTAATTATCCTTACTAATATTATAAATCGGAAAGTGAGTTTGTTTGTTTGTTTGTTCTGACTTCACGCCGTAACTACTAAACCCATTGCATTGAATTTCTGCAGACGTAAAGTTAGTAGTCTGGATTAAATAATAGGATACTTTTTGTCCCGAAAAAATTTGATATTCCCGAGGGAAAACAAAAGTATTGGTATAGATGGCGCTGTATGGATTGGTAGGCCTATATGTCACATAGGCTACTTTTTATCCTTTTGTGACGCGAGCGAAGCCGCGGGTAAAAGCTAGTTAGTTATATGAGAAGAAGATAATTATTAATATAGGAAGGTGTATACTTAGGCCGACATCGAAATGAAATGTTTGTAAATTAAAGCACGATTGCTGACATAATAAAGGACGAACCATATTTTTAACGGATACGGATTTTTACGGAAACGAGTATACGGTTCACCTGATGGTAAGCAATCGACGTCGCCCATGGACCTGAAACACCAGAGGCGTTACAAATTTGGGAATTGGGAATTTGAGGATTGTGGGGGATTCGGGGATTGAGGAGATTGGGAAGTGCACGACGAAACACAATGTAAGCATCCCTCACTTACACTGGCAAAGTTGTAAAAGGTATCAGAGAGTTCTATATGTTGATAATAGCGGTCAGTTTAAACCCAACGAATCAACTATCATTTTTATTTATATACGAAAGTATACACTTGGTAGGTACACAATTTTCATTAAATAAGTAAATAAAATCTAGTGTTTCGTTAAAATAAAATAAAATAAAATGAAAATTAACAAATATTTGCGAGGTGGATTGCCACTCCCACAGATAACAAACGACTATTGTTTTTATTTTATACCATGCAGCGCCAATGTTTGAATTTAGAATTGCGGTTCTTTCTATTTGTTTGTGATTGTGAAAAAGCTTTTCTAACTGGCCAGCAGTATAATAAACCGATGCACATATTTTTTTTTGCTTTTATGCAAACTACATATTAATCTGTCAAACACCAAGCGGTCACCGGTGACCGCGACCTATTGTTCTTTAATTGTGTCTATAAAACCGGTACTCGACGAGTTAAAATTTATTTGCTACGTATCTGGCTCTATGATGAGTTATTATAGCTCGGAGCCGTTTTGAGTAAAAAAAAATATAATTAACTATATTGGTTTTTTATTTCGGAAATCCGTCGAAAGGAAACTTCCTACAAGTTTCCTATAAACGAAAGATAGTCTAAAATAAGGCGATAAGTACCAGTACAAATAGATATTTTACTGGTTATGTAGTTATGAGTCTACTGTCTCGACAGTTGAACAAATAACTTCCATGTATCCGGCCGGAACTGGATGTCTGACAATACTTTTAGAACTTTGCCAACCGTCGAGCCATTTAAGATGAACTTCGCAAAATGGAGTACCTTTTTGTTTTACTGATAATACATGTTTATTATTTTAACGTTGTTTTTTATGGTATAACCCGGTAAACGAGCAGACGGATCACCTGATGGTAGGCAATCGGCGTCGCCCATAGACACCTGGAACACCAGAGGTGTTGCAAGTGCGTTATCGACCTTTTGGGATTAGGAATTTGACGATTGTTGGGGATTCAGGGATTGGGGAAGGGTAATTGGGCCTCCGGTTTTATCAATGTAAGAAAAATTAGCTGTGTTATAGTTACTTATGTGTCATTAAAACAGACTGAACAGATAGCGCAGTGGTTGAGGGACCGGTTCCTGTGTTACGTAGGTTACGTGATTCTCGCACGGAAAAATTCTTTGTGTGATCCACAAATTATTAAGTATAATGGGTCTTTTTTTATGGTGGGAAAATCTTCAAATGACTGCTCCCGCCTTGGTGAGGCGGGAGGAAGTGTCTCTTACTGACTAAATACCACTCCGTTCCTTCTCCTGCACGTCGAGCCGGAGCCCCGGTAACCCGTTAGGTTCTCCGGGAATTATTATGGGTTTGGGGATGATATTTCTGATTCTGTGCCAAACCTAAAATCAAATTATTTACCTCACCAGGTGGGGTGAAGCCTACACCTGGAGTAACGTGAACTGCTGCGTCCACAACGTGATCGTGGGCAAATTGTGGATCGAGCAGTTTGGAGCCATGGAGGTGACGTGCCATGGCGGCGCTGGTCTGAAGGCCAACCTCGTGTTCAAGCCGGCTGGCTTCAACAACAGGGATCTGCACAGAGTTGACGGGTTCATTGTTGATGCTAAGTAAGTATTTATATGCTTTCTTTTTGTGCCGTTAAAGGCTTAATTCAATTCTTAGTTCACTGCTTTGGTCTCTAAAACGCGCTGGTAATATCTACTGTACATCTTCGCTTATAGAAGTTATAGTAGGATGGACTTTTAAGCATGGTTTTATGGTAAAAAATTGCATTAAAACAAAACCGTTATTGTTGTTTTCTAGTATCTAGATTTCGATATCGCAGAGGACTTCCTTACTTAGATTATATGATTATGAATTAATCTATAATTCATTTACCAAATTATCTTTTTCCCATCTAGCAAGAAGCGCATAAAGTTCCTGTACGGCAAGTGGACGGAGTATATAAAATGCTGCAGTGCTGCAGCCTACGAGCAGTGGGCCAAGGAGCGCGGGGAGGAGGCGTCCTCACAGACTCCCTCACACACGCCTAAGAAGATGCTCGCTAAGTTGAACAGCTTCAAAGTTGGAGCACTGCGGTCTATGTCTATCCAAGACGTAAGTTCATTACATTACAACAGCTTTTTCTATTACGGTTTTTTAAGATATCATGAACTCCAACGACTACTGCGAAAGAGTTTATCGCTAGGCTCGCTAGTATATCGAAGATACCTCGTCTAATAACTTGCACTTCAATGATTGATGGGCTTTGTTTTTGATTCGTCAAACTGCATTGGTGTCATCTACTGAGCAGGAAAACTGCATTGGTGTCATCTACTGAGCAGGAAAACTGCATTGGTGTCATCTACTGAGCAGGAAAACTGCATTGGTGTCATCTACTGAGCAGGAAAACTGCATTGGTTTTATCTACTGAGCAGGAAAACTGCATTGGTGCCATCTACTGAGCAGGAAAACTGCATTGGTGCCATCTACTGAGCAGGAAAACTGCATTGGTGCCATCTACTGAGCAGGAAAACGGTGGTCCCCATTGGATCTGAATTGCTAAAACCGAATATCATTTTTGTCTAATAAAATATACGCCAAAACATGGTTAGACATATTATAATTAAGTCTTTAGTAAGTATGCCCATCTCACTTTTCAAGTTTCTCTTATCATTTACCTGTAAATCTTTCCTCTATTCCTTCCAGCCAGATGATGCGGAAAATTCGGAAGACGTTCCTAAGTCAGACGATACGAATAACATCGAGATCGCTGGCTCTGTCACCCTGTGGGAGGCGAGGCCGCGGCCTTCCACTAGTGCTCAGGTTAGTTTAGTTGATAGTATACCAAATATTTTATTATAGTACAAAAAGAGCTGATAGTAGAAAGTCAGTCACATTTTAAAATCTTCAAGAAAACTCATCTCCTATTTAAAATACTAGCAACGTGGGTCCTTGTATTTCTGTGGTACAATACCACAGAAGTCCGTCAGCAGCATAAATTGAATACTATAAGGTGATCAGTCTGCTCCTTTCCTTCTTATTTCTAAAACAAATATCTATAGGTAACAGAAAACAAAATCTAGCTACTAGATCTGAAATCAACATTATTAAGATGGCTTATCAAAAACTTTGAATCTTCTTGAATAAATTCCAGTACTACCAATTCACGGAATTCGCGATGTCTCTTAATGAGTTGGAGAGGGACATGAAAGGCCAGCTCTGTCCCACGGATAGTCGGCTGAGGCCTGACATCCGACTGCTGGAGCAAGGAGACATCGATGGAGCTGCCACTGAGAAGACCAGGCTCGAGGAGAAACAACGGACTGCTAGGAAACTGCTCAAGAAGTCACCTGAGGCTTGGCAACCTAGGTAATGACGATTTTATAATTTTCGGAGTCTCCTAATACAAGCATATCTTGCTTGAAAGGAGGCTCCATTCACAATTTATAAGTACAGACTTCGAAGAATTAACAAAAGTAAATATGTGTTGTTAACGACTCACTATGAATTCATCCTTCATTTTTCTTTTACATTGGTGACATAATGAAAGTATTCATGTTATTGTCTAGTCTAGGTATTACACCATTTATGTATGTAGTGTGTTTTTGAAATGCACAATAGATATGGCGGGACATACATGGCCCTAGAGCGTAAATGTATTGTAAAGACACTGGCAACTATAATGATTTTACCCCAGTGACGGCGCGTTCTGCGCGTGCCTTTGTAAGCTATCTGTGATGGATGTGGCCCAGTAACATAACTACACGCTAATAAAAGGTAGGTAATCTTGATTATAATACACCCATATCTCTTTTTCAGGTGGTTCAGTCAAGGCACAAACCCCTATACGAAACAAGAGGACTGGCTGTACAACGGAGGCTACTGGGACCGCAACTACCAACACTTAAAGGACGTCGACATTTTCTAATCACCTACCTCTAACTCTGCCCATACTCTCTACGTACAAACTCGATGACTGGAAACTAAAAGACAAAAATACTATAAAAATACAGAACAGCTATTTATTAACTAGTTTCTTTTAGCAATTTCTAAAATTAATATTTATATTTTACAAAATAAGCTATTGTGTATATTTTTGTGCCAAAGTTTAATTTATATATTCTTTTTATAAGTTTGACGTAATTATCTCTGTTGTGGTTAGAACGAAGCTTCGGTTCTGGTGACACTGGCCGATTTAAAATTTAATTATAAATATTGTTATTATTTGGATAGTGATGAAAGATACTATGAAATTGTGAAGAGCAATGATAAATATTTTTTAAATTAATATTCGAATTTTCGAACAACTTTATTGTTTATTGAAAAAGGAAACAACACATAGTTGAATTTCCTTTTGTTCGAAAAATTCGAGAATTTGAATAGCTATTAATTTGAAATTAATAGCAGTCATTATGACATATTTATGAGTATGTAATTATTTTATGAACATAAATATTGGCGTGATTATTTGACAAAATTAAATGTAAATAAGATTATTATCAAGACACGATGGATTTGGAATTAAGATTAAATGAAATGAATTGTATATAGGGTTATAATGTAGCGGACCAGAACGGAATGGTGTTATCAAAGAAGATTAATATTTTCGGCGTGAAGTTATAAAATTAAGGATTGTAAACTAGGGTAGTGATTGAAGGTAATTGGGGCAATACATTTATTTATTTAGGTAGTCAGCGCAGTTATTATTCAGGTTTAAGAGACAGTAGCTATTTGTTATACTTTATTATATGGTTTTTAACGAAGACATAATATTATCTTTTGAAACCATTGGTCAACTTTAGCCAATCAACGAGAAGAGACTAGAGTCTATACTGAATCAATATTTAATCAAATTTAGTGTGGGAGAGCCATGCTTCGGCACGAATGGGCCGGCTCGACCAGAGTGATACCACAGCTTCACAGAAAACCGACGAAACACAACGTAAGCGTTGCTTCACGGCGTGCGAGTGAGGTTGCCGGAGGCCCAATTACCCCCCCTTTCCCAATTTCCCTAATTCCTGAATTCCCAACGATCCTCAAACTCTCAATCCCCAAAAGGCCGGTAACCGGTAACGTACTTGTAACGCCTCTGATGTTCCAGGTGTCCATGGGCGACGCCGATTGCTTACCATTAGGTGATCGGTCAGCTCATTTACCGGCTTATGCCATAAAAAAAATTCATATCTACAGACTAAATAACTGGGTTGATTGTGTAACTATTAGTTTTTCCATTATTTAGGAAGCGCTTTGTTGTTTTTTGTACCAAAATATAATACCTACTAGATAAAAGTTGACATAGAAGATGGACATGAATGCACTGCATACAATGTATGTCTAATTAGCAAAATATATTGTAGGTAGTTATTTTTTCTATAGACATTTTCTTATGTATATTGTCTTGACCTAATAATCTTCAATCAAAAAGTATATATTTATCTAGTCGTGGATAACATAGAAAAAAAAATATTTAACGATTAAATTGAATAGGATCGTGAAAGTGTAATTGAATGAACTTGTTTATTTATTTTTTTACTTATGTGTTTCATGTTATATTTAGATCTATAACTTAATTTAATAATGTAATTTATTTAACGATTGATTATTTACTGTTTAAAATTATTATAAGCATGACAGCACTACCTTTGTTTGTATTACATATTATTATACTAAGTAATTACTTAAATATATATATATTTATTTTTTTGAGAACTTTGCTTCCGGTAGTATTCAAAAGTGAAGTCAATTATTAGTGAAATTGCTGTAGAGAAAAGATACATATATGTATATATAACTATCTTTTCTGACATAATATTCATGTTTAGCAAGTAGGCTTTGTATTACTGTAGTTGTTGAAGCTTTCATGTGGAACTTACTTGTCCTAAAACCCACACAAAATATGGTCAGATTTTTCTTGATTGGGGTAAATTTTCTCATTATATTAATGTAGATTTTCTCATTATTTCTCAATTTTACTTCCAATACAAAATTAGTTTCTTATACTTACGTCAACTTTCTTTAAAAAGAACATTATTAAAATTAAATTATGGTAAATGTTACAAAAAGAAAAGTATATGGTAATTTTTAGAAGGCCCAATTCCTCCCCTTCTCAATGGCTCCAATGCCCAATTACCCAATCCTCAAAACCCTAATCCTTGTGGGTTGCGTGTGTCGATAGATGGAACGGATAGCTTACCACCAGGTGATCCGTCTGCTCGTTTGCCACGCTACCCCATAAAAGACGAGAAAATACAAAATGTGCGAATTCACTCCCACTACGAATCATCTGACCATAGTTCGTGCCACAGACTATATATATATAGTAACTGTACATTCAACATCGGCAACTTATGTTGGGATGCTGAGGAAATATCTGGACATTATTATCAAATTGACATTATATCTAACTACATACATATTTAATTAACTAAAAATCGCGTAAGTAGACCTTTTCTCAGCATATTCACGTGAGTAACCCGCGATTTTTACTTAATCTAGTATATCTCACGATAGTTATTAGATACTTGCGATAATATTATTATGTAAGTATTGGTGTATAATTCAAAGAAAAAAAAATATATAAAATAAGCAAGTTTATTTAGTTCAACGTGATGTTGAGTAACTATTTATATTCTAAAAAGAATTAAAATTGATGTATAGAATTAAATACTTACACTTTTATTTAATAGGTAGCGTAAGTATATTTTTTTTTATTTATATTATGTTTTTTTTTGTATTTTGTATACGATAGGTCGTATCCTATTGAGTATACATTGGTATACACTCCATTCCATTGAAGTAGCTGTTAGATTATGTGTTAAACATAATGTAACTTTATGTCGTATGAAATAAGAACTAAATTAGTAATATTAATTGTTATTTGCTAAATTATTGAGCATTTAATGCTTAAAAAATTATTTGATATTATTAATTAGGTCCTGAATTTGAGGTACGCCTTTGGTTAGAAATTCATTGTTGTTTGTGATTTGAGTATATATTAAAATAGTTAAGTAGATAAGTATGCCTGCAATTTCAATGAGATTTGTCTGTTTATTATATTTGTAATTAATTTATTTAGAAGTAAAGAAGTAGTGTTTAATGGACCTTTATTATTATTTTCATAATTATTAAAAATATGTTTATTATTATTTTTTTAAGAGGAAGACATGTCTGCCTGTTTAAAATTGTATACGCAAAATGAACTAGTCAAAATTAAACGCGCACATTCATATTACTTTTCTTTGCAAAAACGTATAAGAAAATATTAAGCAATAATTACGCAATGTGTAGTTTACTAAAAATTATTTACTTATAATTCAAAATAATTAGTGAATAAGTATCTTAGTGTAAAGTTAATTATTCCATTTTATGTATTTCCATTAAAATAAGACAAATGTACCTTCCATTTTAGAACATTAAAATTATTTTCGACACCAGCTTTCAAAATACAATATAGTTCCTATAGAGCACTGGTTCCAGACTTCCAAAAGAAAATAATTAAATTATTTTAAATTATAATTCTTTTATAAGCTGTTTGTATTTTGCTTATTAATAATTATAATAGAATCATAAGTTAGTGTCGTTTCAACAAAGGTGATTATACGCCAAAATGTCAGTAGGTATCTATTTAAATATGTGTATGTAGCAGAAACTGTACATTTTAAATGTGAATAATCAAAAATAAACTCGAATAAATAGATTGAGAATTTACCAAGTGTATTTTTATTGAAGGTTTCTTATATTTTTTTAAGATGAAAATAAAGCAACACATTTCTACTTTTTTTCATGTATTCAATATAATAATCAACAATACCGCTGACAGTCCACTTCTTAACCTTAATCTAAGTGAAAAACATGATTTATCAAATTATCATACATCAAAGCAACTGCAAATAATAATACAAAAAATACAAATAATATACTGTCAACTTTTAAAAATACAACAGGTATATAATGATAACCTTGAGTTAATATATAATTGTAGGTATATAATTTTTTTGTTAAATGTATAAGTAATATATATATATATATAGCTTATTTACTTTAACAAACTATAACCTAATGCGTTCACAAAGTTGACAAAACAAATCTAAAGAATAATATATTATACAACAAATATATAATATCATGTTTTAAATTCACTTCAAGGTAGTTTACTTATGATGGCACTTACTAAAGTTTGGTAAATATTAAATTATCTCCTTCTATTTCTACTGCAATAAGAAATAATACTCTGCCCTATTCAGAAACATTTAATGGGTACATAAACTACTTCTTAGAGCAATTTTGTTCAGGAAATTGTTACTGAATTAACCTCTTGTCTATCGGAACGCATCCGCGAGTCACAATGTGTTTTCTATTGTGTTCATATATCGACAGACAAGGTTAAATGACTCTGAACATGGCAGTAATTTATTAAGGTAAAACTTGGTGAATAGAATTCGAGGGGTAAATAGATACAGAAGAGGGAAGATAAGAGATTTTTTTTTTAAGGGGGGAAAATCATCGAATGGCTGCTCCCGCCTGGGTGAGGCGGAAGGGAGTGTCAGACTCTTACTGACTAAAAACCACCCCGTTCCTTCTCCTGCACGTCGAGCCGGAGCCCCGGTTACCCGTTAGGTTCTCCGCGACAAGATAAGAGAATAGATACTTATCCACCCCATCCCTGTATATATTCACCCCTTGAATTCTATTCACTCCATTTTACGGTATTAGCATTAGTAAAACTCTGAACAATAAAAGTCTATTTGTGACGATATAACAATGTCCTTATTACATGTCATTAAAAATATATTTTCACAAAATCAGTATTAACAATGAAAACATTTAATAACACGATATTATTTATTATACGTACGTTTATAAAATATAAATTTAAACATATTTATAAACAGTATAATAGGATATTACAGATATACTAGTTCATAGAAT